AAACCCGGGTAATCAGCGCCAAAATCCAAAGCTCTACTATAAAATCAATCCACGCCCTAACTGGTATAGTGGGCGTGCATAACATGAAATAAAAAAATGGGGTAATAAAAGCTGATGTCACATTTCTTCTCGTAGCCATCCACTTAAAATACATAAAAAAAAAAATGTTTGTTAACACGTAAACAGGATGGAACTTTAACTGATTAACATAATGAATGCATCATTAATAATTTCTATCGTAAAATAGAATTCTTCCATTACGGCGGTGTACTGTGGTCATAAATTGTGGGCCCGGCATAGCCAGGTGGTTAGGACACTCGACTCGCAATCTGAGGATCGCGGGTTCGAATCCCCAGCCCACCAAACATGCTTACTTTTCAGCCGTGGGGGCATTATAATTTGACGGTCAATCCCACTATTCGTTAGTAAAAGAGTAGCCCAAGAGTTGGCGGTGGGTGGTGATGACTAGCTGCGTTTCCTCTAATCTTACACTGCTAAATTAGAGACGGCTAACGCAGATAGCCCTCGTGTAGCTTTGCGCGAAATTCAAAAACAAACAATCATAAATTGTGTTCCTCAAGATGAGGATACAACGAAACGCACAACAACCCGTACCAGAACAGAAGATGGCACTACCGCTTGTAACAATAAGAATTTAAATATTGATAACAGTTGTGTAGAAAATGGGCCACAATAAACGAGGAAACTGGTTTCATGATAAGCCAACGAATATATCGTTAGTAGATTTTCATGATAACACGAGAATAATGTTGGTAGTGATTATAATTGTGTTCTGGCGAAAACAGCACGTTCCACTCAGATTAGCTAATGGTACCAGTAAACGCGTGGTCCGTGTCTTGTGTGAAATTCACTCAGCTGCAGTATTATCTGCGTGCAATTTTCTAGTCTGGGCCAGAAACAATGTGCGCCACGTGGGATATCTGTTTCTTTTTATGAAGTGTCCACATTTGGCTTTTTTAACTTTCAAAGGCTTATAAATAAATGTCGGGGTTTGATCCCCGTAGTGGGTGCATAGCCCATTGTGCAATTTTGCGCTTAATAAAAGCAAACAAGTCAATATCTACGTCGGACTTTGTAACTTTTAGGTTGTTGTTAGTTCCGACTAATGTTCATGTTCGTTTTCTGAATTTGACTATTTTTAGCTTCGTAAGATCATATTCATATGGCTGAAAACATTTTCAGATTTCATGTCCTCGTCTCACCTTTTCATTAGAGCATGAAGACAAAGCCTACCTAAAGGTATTTATATTTCATGGGAAAACTACTAAAGTCAATTGCCGCCGTCCCTAATTTTGAACTAATCACTAGAGAGAAGAGGTCCAGTTAGTAGCACCCCATCACCCACCATCCACGCTAAGCAGACATAACGAATAATATATATCCAATACGTACTGAATTTCATGACTATTTTCGAGTAATCCTGTGAAAACTTGGTCTTGATGTGGTCTTGATCGATATTAGATAATAAAAAAGTCCCGGTAAAAAAGGGTCTGTTTCAGTAGTTAAAAAAAACGTCCCGGTAAAAAAGGTCTGTTTCAATAATAAAAAAAATGGTTCCGGTAAAAAGGGGTCTGTTTCAGTAGTAAAAAAAAGGGTCTGTTTCAGTAGTTAAAAAAAGTCCCGGAAAAAAAGGGTCTGTTTCAGAAGTTAAAAAAAAGGTCCCGGTAAAAGGGGTCTGTTTCAATAATAAAAAAAAGGTTCCGGTAAAAAAGGGTCTGTTTCAGTAGTGAAAAAAAAAGTCCCGGTTCTGTTTATCATCTATATAAATAAACGTCAGCATGTTTGTGTATCTATTCCATATATCTTTTCATATTTCTTGATCAGTCAGCACCAAACTTGACACAGTGATACAGGATGGCACGAGAAAGGTCATGGGGTTCGACCCCCCCCCATCTAATTTAGGTTGTTTCCTCCATATTCTGGCTTAATCTTTCAACCCAAATATGATTAATTTATTTCTTCTGTTTTGTTTAACAGTCATGCACAAAGCAAATTCCACTAGAACTGCAGTACATGTACTAGCTTATAAAAACATGTTTTACAGAACAATTTTTATTTTACTTTGATTTTAATTTGCTATATCCTACCTTTCTTTATTGAGTCATTTAAAAGACAAAACTACAGCTGCACAAACACGAGATTGGACGAAACAAGTAAAACCACTTACTTTGAACTAGTTGACATGTTTTAAATTTTTTTCCTTGGAAAACCTCAACATAAAAATGCCTTCTAAGGCAAGAAGGGTTATAACAAACGTTAAAACAAAAATACTTATATGTGCAAAGAACGAGGATAACGTGTTTTATTAATATGTTCTGTTATCTTTTTACTTTTTATTTGTATTCGTCCATGGGGTTTAAAAGAGAAATTTTCTCATATTGCAGGGAAGATTTGAACTCATGACTTTGTGTTTCCTCAAAACGATATGTTTAAGATGTTTTTATTTCAACCAGGAATGTTTAGATGTTAAGGTACATAGAAACACATATAAGGACCATGTATGGTCTATGGGTTAGCATGCCCAGAATATCTATCGACAGTTTAAGGTTCGTGTCTCATCCCCCCCCCAAAAAGAAAATGTGCTCTACACTTTGGGGCCGTAGTCAGTCAGATGAAAGTAGCTCAAGATTTGGCGGCAGGTGCTGTTGACTAGCTGCCTTCCCAATTATTAGCGTGCGCTCTATGGAGCTGAGGTTCCGTGCTTCGCATCCCATCAACTCCCCCCCCCCCAATAAAAAATAAAAAGAGAAAATGCGTTCCGTGCTGATAAGAGTAGTCCAAGTGTTAGCGGTTGGTGATGTTAACTACCTTCCTTCTAGTGTATCACTTCGAAATTAGAGACAGCTAGCGCAAAATCCAAAACAACAAACAAACAAAGAACAAGAAAAACAAATAATGATGAACACGGAAATAGAAACAACACAGAAACAAGAGGGAATCCTCAATAGCCGCGACACTTGAAATTCTTTTAGGCAGGATTAGAGTAAACTAATCTATCAGCCCTCATTTCCCCTTTTTATTAGCTATATCTTTATGCGCCAGCAATACCAAGCGCCCTCAACTTGAAATTATTTTAGCCATGATTAGAGTAAATTAATCTATGAGACCTTGAGCGTGGTCAAATTCATCAATCGAAAGGATTTGACCTCTTGAGTCCAACACTCAGTGCCAGTCTATGAACCACTATGCCGCGACTAATAAATCTAAAATACAGATCTATGAGGGTTTTCTTAGCTATTGCGTTCCTATTATAAAAATACAGTACTGATAAAATGAATAAACGAAATATTACACTTCTACATCATGAAGTTTAACAACCATGTTGGCCGGCATGGCCAGGTGGTTAGGGCGCTCGACTCGCAATCTGTGGGTCGCGGGTTCGAATCCCCGTCCCACCAAACATGCTCGCCCTTTCAGCCGTGGGGGCGTTATAATGTGACGGTTAATCACACTATTCGTTGGTAAAAGAGTAGTCCAAGAGTTGGCGGTGGGTGGTGATAACTAGCTGCCTTCCCTCTAGTCTTACACTGCTAATTTAGGGACGGCTAGCGCAGATAGCCCATCGTGTAGCTTTGCGCGAAATTCCAAAACAAACAAACACTTACAAGAAAAATATGTTTTCATACCATCTCTGAAAATGACAAGTTTGTAGCTAAGCAAATTAGTTAAGCTTAAAGTGGCAGTTCTTTATATCCTAAGGTGTCCCCCACAGGGCCAGTGGTAAGTCTTTGGATTTATATTACTAAATCAGGGGTTCGATTACCCTCGGTGATTCGTAAGATAAACACATATCGTAAGGTACTGAATTACTTAAAGTAAAAATGGAATTTACTGATCATTACTATGACAGGACAATTATCTTAAGGATATCTATGTTACTCATGCTTAAACACACATGTGTAGTTTACAAATAAGAATAAATATAGTTTTGATTATTTTGTTTGTTAGTTTGTTTATGACGAAGTTGCTGAACCTGTTTGACGTCGTTCCTAATTTTTAACTACCGACCAGAGAGAATGTCACTGGCCAACAGTTACACCGCCAACTTTTGTGCTACTCTTTTACAAACGTAGAGTGGGATAGATCACAACATATAACGATCCCACTGTTAAAAAGGCGAGCATGTTCGGCGTCGGGTTTTGACCCCGCGACCCATGGATTGCATGTCAAATGCTGTAATGATATTGTTACGTCTCCGTTCGCTAGTTGATTTTCCGTAACTTCGTTCCCACGAAACATTAGCGACACAAGTCCTTTCTTAATAAAACTGGTTTATTCTTTCCGAATATAACTTTACCGCTACACTTATTTTCAACAGTTTTTCTATAACAAACGCTATAACAACGAACTTCAACAATACTTTCTGACTGCAGTTCAATTACTCACTACCTACACACATTGTCACGTCACGCCGTGACCATCTTATATATACCAGCCAACCCCCAATCTAGCAAATGCTAGAGCACTCCCGAAGGAACAGGATAGTTCTAGAAAACGGGTGGCATGATACTAGTCACGTGATCTCGCTGATGCAACAACATTGACCATGTAAAGCCGATATTTATTCTGTTCCGTTTTTCTTTGCTTATAGTAGTAGTTCATAATTCAAGAGGGATATTTACTGACAAAGAAAACTTGATTTTATTATAAGTATTTACAGTAAGTAAAACATGTATTTTGATATGTTTGTAAATTATAGTGGTATTTTACTTAGTAACTGGGAAATTTTATACACCAGTTTTAAATTACCGTTAATTTCTGTCAAATACCGACAAACATCGCTACAATCGGTATGTGTTTTAAGACAAGGTTACCGTTAAAAACTATATTTTTGTGCATTTTGAACAAAATTATAAAATCCAATTTTTTCCCCGAGGTGGATATGGCAGATAGTGAAATGTGGCTTTGTCCTAAAATACATAGCAAGAAACACAGTTTTTTTTCTTCTTATCACAAAATATGCAAGCTTTTTTTGGGTTATTTTTGATTCGTCACATTTGACAAACGGTCCCTAATTGAAACTCAGCACTAAGCTGAGTGATAATAATTTCGAAGCACTTAAGGTAAGTAGGCTTAGATTTAAGTCTAGCTTAAGTCATTGATTTAATAAATGTTAACTTTTCTTTTCTTAAACAGAAAAGTGAGTTATAAGATATCTGACTCCTAAATACTTATTATCAGTTTTACTCACTGTGAGACACAGTTACTTGACTCAACTTTCGTTCGTCGCCTGTGAATTTCAAAATCAAGCCTGAGTTCTAACTTCTATTTCTAAGTTCTTCTCAGGATCTGCAATTAATTTTCAAAATTGTAATTTCAGTTCTGTTATCAAAATTTAACTTTATATGATTTACATGTAATTAACAAATTACGTTTTAATAAAACTTCAAGGATTATTATACAAATATTCGCTTAAACGTCATGCCTATTTCAATACACTTATTAATATTATACAGCTAATACTAATAGTAATACCAGTAATACTAATACTACTTATTACTAATACTCGTAACAGTATAACTATGTAATTGATTGGTGTGGTTTCTTTACAACTACAATTAAGTTTTACTGGACATGAAGTTACTTGATGAAAATTGGCCTGAAGTTGGCTGCCAATTATGCTTGCTTTTCTGTTGTCTGTTAGTGTTAGGAAATTCAGTAGTCGATTGTTTTTCAATTTCAAAGTCCATGTGGAAGTTCAGTAGTTGATTCATTTAAAATAATATTGTTTGACCAAATGCAGTGTGTTTCCAGAAACTAAACAGCTTCCATGTTATTTTGCTAGTAATATTGCTTAATTCTAACAGTAACAAATTTTAGCAGTGTAACATTAATGCAATATATACAATTCTTCATGTGCATCCTGTATAAAAAACATTATTTGAATATAATAATTAAATTAGGTAACAATACTATTTTTCTAAAAATGTAAATACTAAATATATTTCCATATCAGCTGTATATAGGCCCTATACAAATTTATGTAGCTTTAGTCACTACAAAAAAATTCAATTATGTTCTCTGTACTTGTAATGATGAAAAAGCCTTTCTGTTCTTTTATCCACCCGAGAAAAAAGCATTATTACCTTTAGAGAAGAGGTTAAATAAGCTTTAAATAGTTTTAGCCACTCTGAAAACATGTTTAGATCATTTGTTTATGTAGTTTTAATTGCCTTTGGAAATGGAATTTGCTATATACAATGGGTGAACCTATGTTGGTGAGTCCATTCTGGAGTGGTTGAAGCCGTCTCTCCAATTTAAGAGTGGTTTATATATACCAATAAATATATTGTACTATTTATCTTAAAGAAAATAATGTTATTAATTTGTTATTTACATATCTCTGTACTTTTTATATTCCATCAATGAAGTGTGAGCATTGAATGGCTTTTGGAAGAATTCTTTGGTAAAAACAGATGTCCAATCCTTAAGGGCCATAAATCACTTTCAGGTTGATTAATATGCTGATCAGTATCTAAGCTTCTGTGTGTGTCTATATATATATACACACACACATACATACACATGTGTATAAAGTTTTAAAGTGTACTCTATGTGTCTTATGTGTACATCTTAATAACTATCATATCTCCAGTGTTTGGCACCATTTACCATTAGTAATATATTAATTATTTCTGAAAATAAAACTTGTTAGAATTTCTGATATGTCAAAGAATGATCTCATTTTGAATTACTTGACACTGTCACAGCAATGCAAAGATCTATTAATGTTTACCATGATCACAAGCAAAATATCCTTTATTTGACACAGAATGTTTGATCTAGATGAATACTGCTCATTGTACTAAATTGACTATTGATGAAATCAATCTGGATGCATTTTTCTAATGTTCTTAGTTATATAATAACTTATACCAAAAGAGTTGCTAAAAATCATCAATAAAAACCAGTCTTAATTCTGAGTGATAGGCAAACCACAGAAAGCCTCTATGACAACTCTGCTTTAGGCCATCAGTTAGGTATCATCATCATGGTATTTCATTTGGCACCCTGGCCATGAAAGTGGGTTTTTCTTGAATTATTCCTTTTCTCCCCACAGCAAAATTCTTCCTGAATTCCCGAATTCTAGTTATTTTTGGATCCTGTGATTTCAACCATGAAAAGGTGCCGACCTAAGTTTAAGTTCAAGTCAAAATCAATGACAATACTAAATAATTCGTTTAAAAAAAATTAAAACTCTAGTTCCATCCTAATAACATACTCATTATGCAAGCATTAATCTTCAACCGCATGAATACTTAATCCAAGAACTTGCTGCTTGTGTACCAGTCATGGTCCTTCCAGCCAGATCAAGTCCACCTTGCCTAGATTTCCTAACAGCCACAGGACAGAAAGACACTTCACCTGCCACCTCTGACTTTCTTCACGGCTCTGTGGCCTCTAACTCATCTCTTCTCATTGACTTATTTCTGCAAACATAATTTAAAATTAAACTCGTTGAAACAATAAAAACTCACGTGTGGGGTTGAAGGGGAACAGAAGTTCCCGAGCACCCCAGTTGGGAAGGACAGACAAACATGAAGTTTGTTTTCTCTTCCTTCAAACTAAATTACTGTAATGGTTAGTTTGTTTTTTTAACCCAAAGTGCACAAGTATAAAAATATTTTGTTGGGCTTCTTTATGGACATCATGTTACAGAAATTTTAGTTCCTGCTGTAGAACTATTTTGTTTTTCTAAGTTACTTTATATTTTAAATTTAAATTAAGGATAATAAAGAAACAAGAACATTGTCGTGTTCTCAATACTAGAGTAATAGTGAGGGATCTGCATCTCAAATGTCACATATCAAATTCTCATATAATAATGCAACTATTTATAGAGCTACCCTTATTCATGATTGGTTCAGGGTGTGCTGCACAAGTCAGAATTCATTCATTTTCCTTTACAAATACAATTCCCAAATCTATATCAAACTGAGCATCTGTAGGATAAACCTGAAAGTTGCATTAATGGCTACAATCCCCTGAGAGGGATGTGTGTTGCAATGTAGAAAGAGAGAGAGAGATATGCAGATAAAAAATCAGTTCAGCATTGCAGCTGGTGAACATTTCTTTTTCAAGAACAAACAGATTTCAATCCAAAAAACAAAATTAACAATAGTTGTTGAGGCAACTACCTTATCCCATACTTCATAAATATTTCACACATAGGAAGCAAATTTAGCTGACATTTAGCAGGGAGTTTGACCTTTTACACTTCATTAGAGCTCCTTGTTGCAAGCAATTCATTCTGAGTATTGAGAGCATCGGGCTATTTTCCTGCAAACTCAATTGATTACTACTGAAACAATTATCAATCAGTTTTCTGTGAATGGTCACATTATTACATGAGATATTTATATATTGATACAAGCAAAAGTACCCATCCCTAGTGAAGGAAAAAGTTTTAAGTAAATCTGTCAATTTAAATTATTTCATGGACCTCAGAAAGGTTAATTTTGTTGCATTTTTAGTTTCATTCAGAGCCAAAGCTCTGAGTTACTTATATCGCCCACTGTAAAAAATAATTACTGAACATTTCAGACATTGCCAGGGTTTCTTCCTTTGCCCATGTATGGATTGGTGTGAATTTTCCTCGGTTGCTCCAGTCTTTTATACCCCCACTGAATTGCCCTTGATGATATTTGTCTCATGACACTCTCCACCTACCTCAATGCACCATTTATCCTGGTACTGTATATAAGCACGTTACTCAGATAATATTATCTTTTTTTCTCGACAAAGCATTCACTAATGGGTTTCTCAGTATTACGATTGCTGGAGATACTTTGAGCATTCTTTGTGTTACCCAGTTGATTTTCGGAAATTTTAGATTTTTTTTTTCAATTGACAAAGCCTGTATACGGTATGAATTCTTGGATTATAATTTCTGGCACATAGGCAAATCAGGTCTCTCCTATCCCACCTCTGATATCCAGCATCACACAACAATCAGGGGGAGGTGGGTTGCTCTAAGATGAGACTGTCAGTGATCTTATTTGTAGTGAGATGGAGACATTTAGTTTGATGGCGATCCTGGACATTCTGGAGGGAATTTTTATTTGCTTTTTCCTGTGCTTTCTGTTATTCTGTCGACTTGTCAGTCCTCCTGTGGGACAGTGGTAAGTTTACAGACTTCCATTGCTGAAATCCGGGGTTTGATTCCCTATAGTGGACATGGCAAATAGCCCAATGTTTCTTTGCTCTCACAAAGCAAACTTACTGGACAGTCTTTCAAAGAAATAAGAAATGGAGGTCACTTTGAGAAAAGCTGTCTCTGATTTTTTTTCTTCAGTTGGTCCATCAAGAATGTGATGTTTTGTCTTTTATTTGTCAGTTATTTTTGAGCCTGCACCTTACTTGATGGCTGAAAGGTCTGGAAGCAAATATTTAGTTTTCTCCCCATCCACGGACCAATGTGGTTCATGCAGGGAGGTTTACTGCTCAGTTACGTGAAGGGACAGCAATGCCTTATCAGCCACGGTTGTTGGAACTACATGATTTAGTCTGGTGGAAGTATATTCTGACTCTCAAATAATACATATGCTCCTCAAAATTTGGGGCTCTAAGGTGGAGTTTGTACTTAACCTGAATAGATTAATGTCCCTTGGTGGGACAGCAGTAAGTCTATGGACTTCCAACTCTAACTTCCAACGTGTTGTTTTCCTAACATTAAACTTTGTTGGAAGACTCTCAGAATCACTAACTTCATTGATGATGTGCTGGAACCATTGTTAGCATTTACATTGGTTCGATTGCAGGCTTCTATATTCATCCCTGTTGGCATCTCGACTTTCATTGGCTCCAACAGAGGGTCATAGTTCTGGTCCTATTTGAGGGTTCCGACCCCGTCCCTCGATACATTGGTACCCAGAATAGATTCTGTCCATATCCAAGAGTTCCACTCAGTTGGAATGACCCAAGTGGCATCAGCATCTCTGGGGGCTTGGTTCCGAGAATTTCTGGATGTATGGTAACTTTAACCATGGAATTTTGGGCACTACAAGTCCTTAGTCAGAATTAGTCATACAGTTGTCAGAACATCACACCCAGATTCTACTTT